ACAAGCCCGTTTAATATGAATTTTATTGTGTGGATCCGAGTGTAGGGCAAACCAGCAAGTAGCCGCAGCAGATCATCTACGTAAACGAAATGAAAATGTTACGATGTACGTCTGGTATCACGAGGATGATTTGGATTATAAACATATATATAGGAGGAAGTTTTAATGTTGGTAACTGCGAAAATAACGGAATTTAAATGGTTTGGGCACGTATCCATGTAAAAGAGAGGATAATAATATAACCAAGATAGTTCAAGAATGACGAGTATAGAAGAAAAGCGAAGCCGTGAAAGACCATAGAAAATATGGACGAACTGTGTGTCTGAATAGCAATGAAAAACTTAGTTATCATTTCACAGAATGTGATGGCTAGACTAGCATGGAATACCAGGACACCAAATAGACGGGAAAGCGCTAACAATGGGAAAGAAGAGTTCAACATTTATTTGTAAAAGAACTTTCTTTTTTTTTTCTAAGATTGCATATCGTCAGAGCCAGATCAGGGGGAAGAAGCACCAAGTAAAATCGTTTAGATACTAAACTTAAGAAATTAACTATATGTACTTTACTAAAATATGATTTTTTTTCCCTCTTGGAAACACTTTGTTAAGGTAGTAAAAATGTTCTGAATTGTTCTTCACTGTATCATAAAAAATGCGCATTTTTCACCCAATATAGGTACTTGAATCGAAACATTTTTCTAGACTATTGAACTCTTTTTATTAAAACTAAAAAAAAAGAAAAGAAAAGTGATAATAAATGACAATACGTCGGTTTTATTGATCTCTTAGTTCGACTATAAACACGATTATATATAAATGCCGTACTGGTCCATCGTGTTCCACTCGTTTTTGATACCGATGAATTGTCATTGATTTTAGTGTATAAACAAAAAATGATTATCCTATATCGCCTTTACCTCTTCAACTTCCTGTTTATAAACGGAATAGAACGAATATTTTCGGTTTTTTTTCAATCAGAAACCCCAAATCAATCCTGTAAAGTATAGAGCTATGGAAGGATGAGCCGGGAAATTTGTACCACTGTCTACAAGAAAGACATATAATATAAACTACGAGATAATATTGTATAATGACAGCTAAAACTATATTATAATATAGTTACGCCAAGAGAAGAAGAAGAATGTTAGGTCGGCCCTGGGAAACTAATTATTTCGTTAATCCGGCTTTGCGGATCTTTCTGATGGTCACAATCCAACATCATTAAATGCGATAAACGTAGTGTTAATAATAACTAATTCGGACCTTCCTGGCCAACAACAATGTATACCGTACCTATACTTATTTTATCTGTGTACACGCGGAAGATGTGTATTTTAATCTGTTCGACCATCTCTAAATAATTGTTAATGTATGTGCGCTAACTGTGAGTTAATAGAAAAAAAAAAAAAAAACTATTCGTTAGGTATTGAATAAAATGATTCGTTATAAATTCGTTAGTAATTCTATTATTGTAAAGAAGAAGGAAAAAGGAAAGAATCGTGAGATATGTTTAATAACATTACGGCAAACAATCAGCAATACATCAGCTAAACACATTAAAAACAACAAAATTCAGTTAAACGGTGTCTGCAGATGCGCAGATATAATTGCGTTGCTTTGCAGTGTCCGTGAAACGTCCTTGAGAGAGCTGGCGCGCGAATAGTGACAGGTACCATTGCGGCAGATTATAACATCATTTCATAGTATACTTACCGTCCGTGGTAGTAAACAACTTCCAGGTACTTTAATATTATAACAATACGAAAAACGTGCACATTGTTATCAGTTACAGTCGATTGAAAAATTACGATGATTACAGTTTTATTATTTTTTTTTTAAATTCTAAGAAAAGCTAGGAACGTATCAACTAAATAGTCGGAATTAAGGCGAAGAAAAAGAAGAGGGATACTACGCTAAAACCGTTAACTATACACAACCTGCGATAATTTTTGTTAGACACCATAATATAGAGTCGTAGGTATTGCCGTATATTCAGTAGTTTAGTTGTAAAGAGGGGGGGGACAATTGCCCATTTTAAATGCATTTGTAAAATATTTAATGAGTATAGTTTTTTCAATGCAAAATATTGTAGTATAATATGTATTTCGAGTTTGAAACAGAGGTTTTATAATCACTTAAAATCTACACGGTTTGCGTAACATGAATAATTTAAAATAAATATATCCCGGTAAAAGATCGACTAAGTAGTGGCACAGACAGGCTTTTAGGGTTAGGGGGGGGGGCAGCTTTCAATAAATACTCGAATATTAAAAACGTTTTCTAGCCACACTTTACAAGTGTTCGAGAGACAAAAATTCGGTTACAGATAAAACTTATTAGTTACTTATCGATTTGTGTCATTGATGGAAAAAATAAAAATTTATCATTTTCAATTAATCTGAAATAAACAAATTACAATTAACTATGCAAATAGAAAAAAAAAAGGCCGTTTGGGGACAGTTGTCCCCCTCCCCCGTAAATACGCCACTGCGACCAAGTATTGCTGGAGTTCAAAACCTTAATTCTCCCCAGGGCACTTAAATTCCTAACTACGCTATCACAGTAATAACTAATAATACAATATACTATTTCATTATAAACAATGACCCATCTATATAGTGGATATATCAACACCAATAATCAAGACCGATCATAAGTCATGAATTCGCAACTGTCGCCGATTCTAAATGATTTTCGTGGGACATATACGAATATAGGTATTAGGTATACTGAATTTAAAGTATCGGCTTTAAATGTTGATGATTTTTATTTTAAATGTTAGTAAAAAGAAACGTGTATGTGCCGTGTCTATAGTAGATATCAATAAAAATATAATGTAAGAATATAAATTACAAGTTTTGTAATAAATTGTCACAGTTCGATACCTTTTCGGTTGTATCCCAATTTGTATATTTGTTTTCCTGTCGTAGTTTTATGTATAAACTTTTAGAAAAAAGTTTATTCTGTTGCAGTTAACCCTTATTAGTTTTACTATGATGTGTGATTTTATTCTGTAGAATATATTTTGAACGAGAAGATTTAATCCAATCGTCACCTTCGGGGGGGGGGGGAGAGAGAGGTAGAATGATTTCCGGTGTATTACGATAATCTGCGTTTTTATGATTTTCCTTGTACTTTTCCTATAATAATGGGGAGAAATCTTCAAAAAAAAGCATAAATATTCATTCAAGTAATAATGAAAACCTATTATATATTAGTATTTTTTAGTCAAAATTTAATTGTTTAAATGTGCTGACGGGTTTTTATTTGTTTCTTTGAATCAGGAAAACCCGGACAAAGAAAAACGTAAAAAAAAATATAAAAACATTCACGCAATTTTTTAACTATTTATAATTATTTGACATTTTCAAACTGTAAGGGTACAGTTTTTACACTTATGACCCGAAACACTAAGAAGATTATGATTTTAAAATCAAAAAATGATAAACAAGTCAAAATTAAAAGAGCACGAATTTAATTTGTAACAATACGAGCATAGCATAGTAAGTATTGGAAAACGACGCAAAGTGTATCGAAATCAAAGTCCCAACTACAAGTGAATTTATGACGAAGTATGGTAAAAAATTTACATCACAATAATATTTAGAACAAACAATTTTTTTTAAGAATAGTCAAAATACAAATGAATCGGGTTATGAACATGACAATGTATAATAAACATTTAAATACCTAATGTTTATTGTAGTAAGGATATATTAAAAATAAATGATAACAAATATTAAAAAGGGACAAAATGTCAAAAACATCAACATGTATAAGTACACCGTGCGTATATTAAATATAAGGGACAGAAAATGTCTTTCAATGTAATAAGCTTAATAAGAAATAAGCTACTGATTATTAGTGGTACCTGACAATGTGTAGTTAACGTCGTTGTTTCGGTTAGCCTTGGAAAGGGAAAATGTTGGGGTGCGTAAAGATTCGGCCGCAGTCAATTTATAACTGTTTACGATCAGTTGAACCTTGTTTTCCACTAATCGATTTGTAATTGTCTTTTTTGTCGATATCACGCGATTTCTATTTCAGTTTAGATTCAACTCCACCAATATCGACGAGTTATCGTTTATATACGTTCGACACCGTTCTTTCGTAGCAGTGGCGGTTTTGATAAAATATCAAGGGGGGGGGGGGAGTACGATTTTAAATTTTTCGGGCCCCATACCATAATGACATATATCAAATAAAGGATAAAATTTGTTTATGGTCCTATCATAAATTACACTTAAATTTATTTTAAATTCTGATTATAACGAAAAAGCTTATATGGTTTTACAACTGCTTTATCTGTAGACAACTTTTCTACCAGAAATCATCTTGCTCCGATGTATATGATATAGCAACTTTTCTGAAAAGAAATTTTTATTGAGGGGGGGGGTACTTTGGGTAGGTCATTTTTCGATTTTCCCAAGAATTTTCCCAGAAAATGTGAAAAACCGGGAAAAACGTAGGAAAAACAGGAAAATCGGTACAAGATTAAACGAATATTATTTAAGAAAATATATAATGCCTATTTAATTATTTTACTATAGTATTATGACATATATATTGTTGACAAAGCATCACTATCATGTATCAACTGAATTCCACTCAGAATCGTTTTTTTCGTTAGCAATGGTTTATCGTTACAAAATATACCTAAAAGTTAACAAAAAAAACATCCAGGGTGGGCGATCGTCCTCGTAACCCCTCCCTAAAAACCGTCTACTCCATAGACTCTGATGTACCATTATTGGTATAATGTTGGTGGCAGAGCTGGATCTAGGGGGGGGGGCGAACCGGGGTCCTTACCCCGGAAGTCTTGGTCGGGAGGCGCAAAATAACCAAATAATTAGTAGATATAATAACAGTTTTTATTCATTCATAGAAACATTTTTTTGGAATCGTACAAAAATTATTTAATTTATATAATTATTTAATTTTTTTAAAGTATTACCACCAACTTGATGCTAATATTTTAAAAAAAACGCCAATTCTGGTTTACTTCCATTCAGAAGACGCATCACAACGAAAACGGTAATACGACAATTCGTTATCTGGCAAAGACAATAACGATTCTCCTTGGTAGGATTCGTCAGAACTACTTTCAAATAGCCGATCTGTAATCTGATTAATGCCAGTGGATTTTCGTAGTCCTGATAAACCTGCGTATAATAATATTGTTTAAATCACCGACGATTCCGCAGGATGTTTTAGAAATATATTCAAAGGTATTTTACAATTATACAAAATATATTTAAAATTTATTTACGGTAGTTTATTGATACATATTAAATTATTATAACATTGTAATGATATTTTATACATATTCAATTATTTATCAATGTACATATATTTATAGAACATGTCTGTTTAAATAATAAAGGTCATCAAATGCAATCAATTAAATAACTGTAATTATGCAGAAACAACAGCGTATCAAACTGGCCACAGGTTGAAGTATTGGTTTTATACGACCCAACAAACTATGTGTATAGAATATAAAATAATTAGATACTTGGGCCGGGTTACAAAAAAATTCTGTACAAATATTTCACAGACACCTCAACGCCTGTAAATTAAAATGACTCTATATTATATAACATATGTAATAATGCGCAAATGAATTTGTAACGAATCTGTAAATTAAACGAAAACAATGAATACCGGATGAACTAAACCATTAATTATATTCGATAACCCCGAACCACGGTTAACTACTGAACAATGATGACTGCAGATAACACTATGGCATCTTTGTGCCAAAAGAAAAAAAAAAAATTGTTAATTTTGTTTTTGTTTCTCGGTAAAATGGCTTCACTTAATAAAAATTTCAATTTAATTGAACAAAATTACTTACTGCAACTTGAAACACCACATAAAAATTCAAAACATAAACGAATTATTGTATAATAGAAATCCCGGATATATCTTGGCCTCGGTAATATAGTCCTAACCTCGATAATTAACTTATCATCATTTGATGCCGACGAGGATAAAAATCTATAATTCAAGTTAATTGTAATTTAAGTTAAGTTAAATTTAAAATTTGGCAATACACAAATTCAAAATAAAAACAACACTTTCAAAAATGTCAGCAATAACACTTGTAAAATGATAACATCGATCTGTAAACCGTTCTGCAAGGAGTTACAGATTCGAATTCGGTTCTGTAAATCAAAGTCACCCTTGCAGGCCTGTAAACAATACAGAACGATCGAGCAACACCCGATCTGGTTTACAAATCTATAAATGCGCTAATGGTTCTGCAAGTCGTTACAGAGCGTTTGTGTGACCCGGCCTTAGCCGTGAACTTACGCCGTATATAAAAGATGTACTACATTTAATGGGATTTAGAATACGAGTCTAACCAGCGGAGCCTAGTATTCGTTAATTTTTATAAAATAAAATCAATACGACAAATAAAATATGCTGATATTAACGAATCCTAATGTATCCTAATCGTATTTGCGAGCGTTACATTATAAACAACCGATTGTAAAATGCTATCAATGAATTCGGTTAAAAAATTAAAGAATCGTCGATATCAGTTGTAAATATTATAATAACGACGATGGCCACCATATCATAACATATAATGTAAATACAATAATAATGATAATGGTCGCCGTATTATAATTTATAATATTGTGCTATGTAATTAACAATTACATATTATTATCGTATTCTGTATACATTAATTGCGTGCTATTCAAATTGCCTCTTCAATCATTTTGACACGTACGTATGTTGTAAATGTTAAAACGTGTTAAGTAGATACCCATCAGCGTTCTATATGATATTGTTATGCATACACCACCATTAAATACAACTTATGACGGACCTAGGTGTGACATTTTAAAATATGTCTGCTCGGTCAAAACAATTTTGCCCGCGTAAAACCAAATAAAAACTCGAAAAATGTCAAATTGTCCGTAAATAGCTCGAAAATAGCAAAAATGTTTTGAACATTTTACCATTGTCTAGAAAAAAACGCATTACTAGCGTTCGATAAAAATAAAGTCAAGTCTCTACAATTGTCTCACTGAATTACAACAAATAATTCATTCATTCAATGCAATTCTCTTTGGTTGATACTATTACCCGCCGCAGTGTCTATACCACCACTGTCACCATCCGTGCTGTACACGACCGCTCAAATTCCAAAGAGATATATTTCCCTACAATACTTCCTCAACCACCCGAATACGTTACTGATTATAGGAGGGTCTAATCTTCCTCATTTCAATAGTTTTCGTACAAATATTACTCGTTGGAAAAATTGTACAGACTTAGATAATATTTTGTTTTTTTTTTTTTTTTTTTGTCGACTTATTACAAAAATTGTTTTACATTGGGTTTATTTATAAATACACATAGGTTAATAAAAACTTACTCAACATTATTATTATCTCATAAAAATAATTCACGCAGTGCATTTATGGAATAAAAATTCGTTACAACACACCCGCGTGCAGGAGTTTTATACACCTAAACCTACAATAATTATGATTCCGTAGATTTGTTATCCGAGCGTAAGTATACGTTTTTGGTAATATTCGGTTACCAACATACAAATATGAGGTTCTTGAACCGTGTTTACACGATATTATTTTCGGTTCAAAAATATCGTAAATACGGCGTTCGTGTCACACGTTTTGCGAAATTCCACGCGATTCGATTATTATTTTTTATCTACAGCATCGTCAAATCTACAAATCTCAACATTGCGATTTTTCGATGGAAACCGTTTGTTTTTTTTTACGTTTTCCAATAGAAGACGAAAAAAATTGTTAAAGAATATTATAGTGAAGCAATGGAGCATTTGGTATAGATAAAAATACGACGATGAATTTGTATAGATGTATAAGAGATAAGGATGCGGCAACGAACGTGTAGTTACTATTTAGTTCAATAGCATAACCATAATTTTTAAAGAGTGAAAACTTCGCATCTTTTAACCTACTGTGTGAAAGAATCTGATCATTTTTATTACCTACACTATTAAAATTCTACCAGAGTGTGTTTCTATGGTGTTTTTGATTAGAGAAAGATTTCTGGTAGAAAAGTTGTTTACAGATATAGGTAACAAATTTAAAAAACACATAATATTGTAATATATTACAATACATTTATTTTTAAATTAAATTTGATTATTATTATTAATTATTTTTAATTTAAATTATTATATTTTATTATACCAATACATTTATCGCCACGCTTAAAATCATCTAAAAAGAAGAGCATATTTTGTACGATGGGTGCAGCCACTGTTGTTGGTGAAAAGTTGGGAAGGTAAGATATAGAGGGGAAATTAATTTGTATCTAAGCAATACTAATTAATTGCTTACTAAAAACGATTCTGAGTGGAGTTCAGTTAAATAGTGATGCTTTGTCAACAATATATATGTCATATTATATTTTCTTTAATAATATTTGTTATTACCGATTACCGGTAATATTGTACCGATTTTCCCGTTTTTCTACGTTTTTATCGATTTTCCATGTTCTCTCGGTTTTTCTCATTTGCTGGGAAAACTCTTGAAAAAATCTAAAAATAACTTTCTGAGGTATGATACCTCATGCCACCTTCTCCTAGATACACTCCTGCTATAGCTGACTCACACATGGTTGCACGATGATGGAATAAAGGTAAAGAGGATATTAAGTCCGCAATCAGAAGAAATTCCATTTTTATACGACAAACAAATGTGACCGACATCCGACGAACCCACGTCGCGCGTCGTCTTGTCGTTAAAAACACCTCTGCGAAAGACCGCACGACGTAAGATCAAGTTTTTTTCAGCAGCCGTATAATGTGCAATTTTTTTTTCTTTTTGTGTTTTTTTTTTATTATTATTATTATTCAAATATTTATTATTCAAATAGATGCTAATTAGTATTTTTTTTTTTTATTTTACGACCTGCAAAATTGGTGTCGACCATTATAAACCATCGACTGTGTACGATGCTGTACCGTAACGTGGTCTGACAGAATGTCGTATCGTAAAAACTTTGTTTACACATACTATTATAAGGCACGGTTCTCAAGTTCACGGTCACATTTCAAATTTAAATTGTCTGTTTAAACTACAAATACTAATTCGTTTAAATAAAAATAAAAATTAGCTCGTCTCTCTAACGTATATTGGGTTAAGAAGACGTCACATTGGCATGATCGCCATGTCTGTAGTCTTCTATTTTGACGGGCCGCAATGTAGCAGTAAAATGTGTTAACGTAAAAAAAAATAAAATGCCATTAAAATCGGTTTTGAAGCAAAAACACCGATTATAAAATGTGTTTTAAAGCGTATTTAAATACAATCACATGGACGGTTTTTTTTTGTTTTACAAAAATGTATTTAAAAAAAAATCAACTGTCCAATACGTTTTATTTTATCTTCGAAAATGCGTTGTATATTTACACAATAATAATCATCATAAAGCATTAACAAAATGTCGTCATCCACACATTTTATAATACATAATATTATGTATATTTTATCTATACGATTTTAAAAGCCTTTTCGTTCGTTCACTTTAACACGTTTTTCCTATAATGTCCGCAGAGAAAGATAAATACGGACAAATGCCCCTGCACGTGACGGTCTATGAAGAAGAAAAAAATTAATAAATATAGTAACCATAAATGTATAACCTTGGAAAAAATTTTTTTTAATTTTTAAATTGTATTACTTAATGTGAGTAAACTATTGAAAAGATGGTGCAATTTTAGTTGTTTTAAACAAAGCGAGAAGTATATTGGTTTTAATATTGTGTGTTTTCATTTTTACAACCTACTTTGTTTTTAATCAGAAATCTTGCTTCAGTAAAAAACTTCATAGGAAATTTCTTGTAAAACTATTAAAATTTGTTATCCAATTGGCGCATTTATGAAGTCAATTTAAAATGGGAAAAATTAATTAATTAAAATAAATGGGAAAAATTTGCAATTTTGTATACAATTTCTATTGATTTTTGGGTTACCTAGACAACAAGGGGGAAATATTTCTCATAATACTCAGATCGGAATCTTTTTTCGTTAGCAATGGGATACAGACAGATATAAATTAAATTACACTATATAGTGTAATTTAAGGGAAGGGAAAGGAAGATATATATCTTGCCTTCCAATTTCCTTCCTATAAAACAGTAGCAGCCTTTTTTTTTTTTTTTTTGAACGTGACAGTGACAACTCACACACTTGCACATGGATCGATTGGGGATACGTTTGTTTCGGACGTGTATTTGTGACGTAATAATAGTCATAATGTGATTAGGATCGGGAACGTTTCGGCCGATTCATCTGGAACCTTACATGCTTATTCGGTGAACGGTTTTCGGCATGTAGGACGGAAAGTTACCCAAACAAAACGGTTTTCGCTACGAAATATAAAATTGCCGAGAAATCGTATAATGCGCAATAAATAATGTAAGAAAATCCAACATACATAATCATAATGCGGGTTTGCACTGCTTAGTCGTAGGTGACAAATATTGGGAAGGTGTGTACGTATAATATATAATATATATTATACATTAATATAAAGGGTAATTTAGATTATATAATCAAAGCAATGGTTAATCATTGTAATCGAAAAACGGTTCTGAGCGGAGCTTGGTAAACTCGAACAAGGTTAGAATAGTTATTTGTACATATAATTTTAACCTATTCTTCCCTTATGCACTTTAGCACATTTACCAAGATATAAGTATACAAACAATTTCATTTCATTTTTTATGAAAAATCATAGTTTGAGCTTTGTATTATAAATGCGTAACATGCATAATATTACATTTAATTAAATAAAATGAGCTGATACTGGGGACGGGTGCGACCACTGTTGTAGGTGAGAAGTTGGAAAGTCAGGATACATGACGTTATTTCATTTATATGTGTAAGCAACGAAAAACCATTGCCGACAAAAGACGACCCCGAGCGCCGTTCGGTAATATATAATTTGAAGTGCCGTCATTTTTTTTGTTTACCTAAACTTCCTACGTTTTTTCCGATTATTATGAAAACTAATTCGAAAATCAGACCTGCGTCATTAAAAACAAGATTAATAATTCAACGTGGTCTCTTGTCGTTTTTCGAATGAAGTTATATTTGTGCGGGAAAACGTGGTAAGTACTTGTTTAAAATAACGGAATCGTGGAAAAAATCCTATTTTACCGTTGATACCGCAATCACGTAAATCAAAAAGACAACAAAAAACGTATTTTGCCTATAAGTGCGCCACTGCATCGAATTCTAAATATTCCATGGACAAACCATGTATTCAATTTGAAGGTACTCCATAAAATACGAATGGAAAGAGAATCACCGCGGTAATGCAGTGATAATTATAAAATCTCGGAAACTTCTGCGGGATGAGAAATAATCAAAGGAATTACTGCAACTTATACTACTTCGGGGGAAAACAAGTATTGCAAGATGGAAGAAGATATGGCGTTCGTAAAACCTCCGAAATCGGTTTAGCGCAACATCAAGTGAATGTATTTCGTTAGAACGGGCAAACGTAACGTTTATTCCGATTTCCAACGTCGCAAACGGCTATAGGAACCACAAGAAGAAAAGTATCAACTAGGTATTAGGGTATCGGGTGTACTACCGAAAATCCGTATTTTTAAAATGCATATTTTTTTATTTTTTTTTTTGTGTAAGTATTTTGAGTACATATAGTATTCGGAATACTACCCGCGTCCGGTGGATTCTTGGTCATCGCGGCACTACCCCTCCCCACACCCCCCGACCGCCACCCCCCCTCCTCGCTCGTTGAAAATCCTAAGAGCGGCGGACGGCCGACGGGGTCCGAGGACAGCGGCGGCGGAACAGTACATTCAACACATGGCCGGCGTCCTCGTTCACCGCGCCACCGAAGCCGCCGTCGTCGTCGTCGTCGTCGCCACTCGCCGTCAACGAACCGGCCACACAGCCGCGCAGTCAGTCGCCGACACACCGTCACACGGAACGCGCGCGCGTCCCGACCGTTCACCCGACACGCCGCCGCCGCCGCCGCAGCCGTCAACCGAACACAGTGCGCCGACACGACAACCGGTGTCTCGAGGGCCCGTCGACATTTTTAACAGTTCCACCGAGTCAGTGTCGTCTCGACCGCGTGTGTGCACAGTGCCGCTGTTAAGTCGTCGCCGCCAATATTCGATTTTTGAGCGGAAAAAAAAAAATTAAATTTTCTATTCGAAATATTTCGATTTTTTTTTTTTTTCCGAAAACACGCGAAATTCACCAACGGTCAATCCGGTTCTCCCCGCACCTAAGATTCGGTTGATTTTTTTTTTTTAGCAGCAAATTTTTTTTCCACCCCGACAGATTTTCTATGTGCTAGAAATTTAATGCAGCTGCAAAACACCGTCGTCGGTAAGTTACCTATATACCCTGTAATGCCTACACGCCTGCTATACATACTTATAATTATTACAACATTTGTTTACACACACACACACACACACACACACACATACACGCATACAAAAGCGGTTTTCGCCGATCACGTGAACAGGGGTAAAATTCGTGGCGTTTGTTGTTGGAGTGCCGGGGAAGGGACGGGTTTCAGTAAATTTTCGGCTTTATTTCATGTTTTATAATATGTAAATTCGCGGACTACTACGAAAATTAAAATAACGTCTCGAGTCGTTACGACGGATTTTTTTTTTTTTTGTTTAACAAAAAGGCTTAGGTATAATAATTTGTATATGACTTTAGACCATTTTCGAATGTCGTATTTAGATTATGCCATTCGGCAATCGTGTCGAACGGAATACATTTGTGCCATTATTTTGTCACATAATGGCAAATTTCAACATTTAATTAGTTCGTATTGAAAAGTACAAAGTGCACAATCAACTTAAACCCGCGTTCCCCGCGACCGATGAAATGGTAATTTCGAATTAAGTATTATTATCGTTTCACACACGTTCGTCCGTAACAACAGCGGTGCATCATTTTATACGTTTTCGGTCGTTCGTTTGACGGTCGGTCGGTTGATTTTTGATTTTTTTTTTTTTTTTTTTCTACACGCCCGTTTCAATTATAACAATGTCTTCACGTGTGTATTGGTATTGTTCGCGACGTCTCGTCTCCGTTTGTGTAGTGGAGCGCGCACACAAATTATCAAATTAATGCGATTTTATATTTGTATTAATAATTTGTATGCAGTGGCGCGAATCGTTCGATTTCACTCGTGTTTCCCGTATAACTCGTTTTCGAATATGTGTAAACTGTACAACGGATGCCAGATGCATGATGATTGCTTTAAAAAAAAAAAAACAAAAAATTATAAACTCAAATCGTTTTATTATTACTATTGTTTCGGGTGCCTGTGCCTAATTATTTTCCACTCGTCGTTAGCGAAGAGTTGTAAACAACGTATTGTTATAATGCGTATACGAAAAACGGAAAACGACATTATTTTTCCGGCTGCACATTTTGACGCGTCGTGCCGTTTCGCATCTGCGTATCAAGAGCGTTTTAGTTTCACGTCACCCGTATGCGTTGGCGATCACCGCTGTTGTCGGTTTGTCAAGCGATCAGCTTATACCGAAAACGGCCGACCCGCGACGATTCCAGATTCACGACTGTTTGCCCCGTGGAATTCGGCATTATTTAGGATTTCGCGCGGTTTCGAGTCGTTTTCGAACTCCGCGACGGATCCGAGAATTACCAAATAA